TTCACATTATTAGGTTTAGTAGGATATTCAAGAATTCCAGTTTCCCATACAATGTCCCCAGTACCTTTTTTCAAATCACCATCTTCAAATATAGAATTAGAGGCCATTGAAGAATCACTTTGCTCCATTACATCCTACAAAAATAGATAGAAGCTATTATATATAGTTATAGACAGATGTAACATGTAAGTCATTTCATAAAGATAGAAGAAAGAAAGAATGAACTTACAGTTACAAACTGATAAAATACACGGTCAAGAGTTACAGTTCCTGGCCAGAGCCAGACCTGTAAACAGACCACCCCATAATTCTCCCTTATCTATCTACTCTGAGCCACCAATCCAATTAAGATGGCAACTTGGCAAAAATGCTTTTGATCCAAAGCTAAAGTGCTAAGATTTATTAAACAATATTTCGACAGAATTAAGAAGTCACAAGATTTATTAAACAATTATTACTGAATACTATAGAATTCTACTTAAGACAAGATCAAGTTTCATGCTGCAAATTAACAACATATGAACAAGGAATAAACAACTAATTGAAGAAAAAAGAACACGGTGAATCTGTAAAGATTTTACCTTCTAAATCTCCAAGCTAATACCGAGAGAAAGGATCGATCTTGCCAGCCGATACCACACAGCCATTTTCGAAAGGGTTAAAGAAAGGGTTTATACCAAAATCGAAAACCAAAACAGTGAAAGAACGGGCAAAATCGAAAACCCAACACAGTCAAAAAAGGGAAAAATCGAAAACCAACATTTTCGAGTTCTGAACCGGCTGAAGAAGACCACAAATGGCAGATAATATCAATGTGCTGAAACCGTGAAGGCGAGTATCACATTTCACAACTACTTGGTTGGGCAGCCATGGATTTGGAGGTGAAGGTGAAGCAGAGAACGGAGGACTGGAGGAGTTCCACGAGTTCTGACTTGAGAGTTGGGAATGAAAAAGGAAAAAATTGAACTAGTGTGTTTTAAGCTGGGTCTTTTGGTTGGGCTGAGTCTTCAAGTTTGCAATTGGACTGGTGGGTTCCCTAATGCGAGCCTAATGAGTGCATGAACGCGCCTAATCGAGAATCAAGACGCCTAATCATGCATTGATACTCCTAGTAGCGCCTAGGCGGTCAACAAAAAATGTTGACCGCATTTTTACGCGCATATCACAAATGCGACACGTTTTCAAAGCGCGCCGCGCCTAGGCCGGCGCATTTTCGAGCATTTTAGAACACTAAGCCGGAGGTTACACTGCACATTCCCTTCTAAGCCTTTTATTTTCTATTTCTACATATAAAAATTCTGCCTATAGTAACTTTCACAAGTGTAGCTGAGTGGTACGTGATTATTTGGCCTTCAATTTTCCAAACTAGCCATGAATTATTGAATTGACATCTGCCAGAATGAATATAAAAGTGATTTTAGCTGTTAACTTGTACATATTACATAATTGCCCCTTGTTTTTTTTTTATAGAGGTAAAACATCANAAGAAGGGAAAAATCGAAAACCAACTTTTTCGAGTTCTGAACCGGCCGAAGAAGACCACAAATGGCATATAATATCAATGTGCTGAAACCGTGAAGGCGAGTATCACATTTCACAAGTACTCGGTTGGGCAGCCATGGATTTGGAGGTGAAGGTGAAGCAGAGAACGGAGGACTGGAGGCTGACTGGAGGAGTTCCACGAGTTCTGACTTGGGAGTTGGGAATGAAAAAGGAAAAAATTGAACTGGTGGGTTTTAAGCTGGGTCTTTTGGTTGGGCCGAGTCTTCAAGTTTGCAATTGGACTGGTGGGTTCCCTAATGCGAGCCTAATGAGCGCATGAACGCGCCTAATCGAGAATCAAGACGCCTAATCGTGCATTGATACGCCTAGGCGGTCAATAAAAAATGTTGACCGCATTTTTATGCGCATATCACAAATGCGACAAGTTTTCAACGCGCGCCGCGCCTAGGCGGCGCATTTTCGAGCATTTTAGAACACTGAGCCGGAGGTTACACTGCACATTCCCTTCTAAGCCTTTTATTTTCTATTTCTGTATATAAAAATTCTGCCTATAGTAACTTTCACAAGTGTAGCTGAGTGGTACGTGATTATTTGGCCTTCAATTTTCCAAACTAGCCATGAATTATTGAATTGACATCTGCCAGAATGAATATAGAAGTGATTTTAGCTGTTAACTTGTACATATTACATAATTGCCCCTTGTTTTTTTTATAGAGGTAAAACATCAGATTATTTAAATTTCTCAATGTTTAAAAATTTCGAACCTTCAATAAAGTGATTCAAACACAGGTTTGAACATTGAAGGCCCTTTTTTGGTCCACAGGCCAAATTCTGTTTAAAATAAATTTACTCTTAAAAAACAAGAAATTAGGAAATTGTTTATTGTGAATATACTTTTTATGTTTAATGCAAAATAAGCGCTTTGAATTTATTTTTAGTGGAAATACCGTCAAAATCTAATGAGGGCTGTTAGACCTCCACCTCTACCCACCGGATTTTGGCTTCTTTATTCTTGTTATTGAGGTATCAACTAAGTCTAAAATATGGCCAATATAAAATATTTGAGATACACAGTTATCTAAAATGTAATATGCTATTACTGCCCTCTTTTGTATAGATTAAAATTAGTTTTTTAGTAGATTTTGATAAAAGTTGATGAAATGAGTGGTTGAAAAGTTGTGGGCCCATGAAATGTGTGGTTAAAATTAATTGTTGACTTTGACTAAAGATTAAAATCAGATTTTAATGAGCAAATATTTATGCCAAACTAGCTCCTAAAACATTGATTGGAGTTGATTGAATCAAGAACGTGCCATCTTAAGAAAACTTGGATTGTTTGGCACATGCATGGTCTATAATCTGCCTAATTTTCGAACATTTAGAATTCTTCACCTGTGCATATCCTGCATATAAATATGGTTGCATGCATTTTGCTGAAAAGCCACTGATTAGTTGCTGGAAACGGAGGAAACTCAAAGACAGCCCTTCATTTCTTCGATACTTCTATTATTTTTGAAAAAAATGTTTTCCTTCACTACCTTCATGATTTTGGCTCATTGCTGTGGTTTTATAAGTTGTGTAGTTTTGTTTCGTCAGTCCCCATACGCTTTCGAAAATAAGGATATCTTTCTATTAGCCGGCCAAAGCAACATGGCCGGCCGAGGAGGTGTGGTGCTTCATTGGGATCATTATATCCCTCTTGAATGCCGTTCAAAGCCAACGATCCTTCGGCTTACCGCAGGGCTAACCTGGGAGGAGGCACATGAACCTCTACATAAGGACATAGATTCAAATAAAACTTGTGGGGTGGGACCTGGATTAGCGTTTGCCAATTCACTGCTCGGACGAAATCCTAGCCTAGGGTTAATTGGCTTAGTCCCTTGTGCCGTCGGTGCAACAAGCATAGATGAGTGGAAACGAGGCTCGTTTCTATATAATCAACTCCTAAAGAGGGCTGAGGCAGCGCTACAAGATGGAGGTCAGATTCGTGCACTTCTATGGTATCAAGGCGAGAATGATACTGTAAATAAATTGGATGCCGAACTGTATAAGATGCGATTGAAAGAATTTTTCATCGATATCCGCGCCGATCTAGCTTCCCCAACCCTCCCAATTGTTCAGGTAATTTTATTCACCTAATTTATTACATACAGTTTATTATTTCGCTACTAGAATAAGTGCACTTCATCAAACTCTATTGTTATTCATATAGGTGGCGTTGGCATCAGCATTAGGACCATATCTCGACACCGTAAGGAAGGCCCAGCTCGGAATCAACCTTCCAAATGTCACATGTGTAGATGCCAAAGGACTGCAGGTGAAGGAAAACGATCGAGTGCACCTTACCACTTCGGCCCAAGTCCGTCTCGGGAAGATGTTGGCTGATGGCTTCCTCCGTATTGCACCTACTTTAGATTAGATCAAGTCCCCGAGAAGCATTTGAAACCTCATTTTGGAATTTAGGAATAATGACTGGGGAAAGAAATGGGAGTATGATTTAATAGGAAAGATGATGAATTAATAATATAATGTTATTCAGAAAATAAGAAACGTGGCTCACCACAGTCTACGACTTTCATTTTAATTGTTTTGGTTTCTTTTAAAATAGAAAATAAAAAATTTGAAAAGCAACCCACACGACCCATTGACCTCAATAACCATGCCGACAAAAAGGAATTGGGCCAATGCAGTCGATGTAGAGCTCCCGCATTTATCTCGAATGTTAGCATTTTAAATATTTTTAATTTAAAAATGACTTTTAACTTGTGAAATATTGAGAGTTTATATATATATAATACAGAGAAACGGTGAAAAAATATTTGTAAGATGAATACACAGAGTGGAAAACAAAGAGTTCAATAATACTAAAATAAAAAGTTACTATATTTGCGAGCGTGCACTTTAAATTTTTTGTAGAACTACAAATTTGTGTGTATGTATGTCACAAGTACACGAAGTCAAGCAACAGATCAATTCGAGGCAATTGAAAGTGATTTGCAGCACAAGAACTTTANTAGAACTACAAATTTGTGTGTATGTTTGTCACATGTACACGAAGTCAAGAAACAGATCAATTCGGGGCAATTGAAAGTGATTTGCAGCACAAGAACTTTATCATTTCATTCCACTTATATACAGCCTAAGAACTATACAAGCAAAATACATACAAAATGAATATTCTGATTCTTCAACCAACTAATGCTAGGTGGCATAACAACTTATATTCTCAATCCAAAATTGGAACCAGTGTAAGGAGTGCAAGCACTAATAATTCTGTTATGATGCTAATTTGTTAGTAATACAAATTCTCACATTACTCTAACACTCCCTCTCAAAGTGGAGTGTATCTCTAACACTCCAAACTTGTCTCTAAGGAATAAGAATCTGGAATGTGAAAGTGGTTTGGTGAGTAAGTCTGTTGTCTGATCTGATGATGACACATAATTAATTTCCAATTCACATCTCAATACTTTATCTCTAACGAAGTGAACATCAACTTCTATATGCTTGGTTCGTGCATGATAAACTGGATTTGAAGCTAATGCATTTGCACTTAAGTTATCACACCAAATTTTAGGGACCGACATCTGAGGTACTTCCAATTCTTTAAGCAAGGACTGAATCCATGTAATTTTAACTGCACTGTGAGCAAGGGCTCGATACTCTACCTCAGTACTTGACCTTACTACCATTTGTTGCTTCTTTGAACACGAGGATACTAGGATGTCTCCAAGGTAAACATAGTAGCCTGCAGTAGATCTTCTGGACATGATGCCCAGTTAGAGTGTGCGTATGAGATTATATCAAGGATGTCGTTCTTACGAATTGCAAGTCCATAGTTTAGTGTTCACTTCAAGTATCTGAATACTCTTTTCAGTGCTTTCCAATGAGCATCTGTGGGTGCTTGAAGGAATTTGCTCATTCTATTGATTACATATGTAACATCAAGTCTTATGTGAGCTAAGTACTGAAGACTTCCAATGGCACTCTTGTACAAACTTGGATCTCTCATAGGTTGTGCTTCAGTTTTGGAGACCAATTTCGCAACTGCCATTGGTGTTAGGCTTGATTTGAGGTTTTCATAATCGAACCTTTTGAGCAGATCAGTAGCATACCTTGTTTGAGTTAGATAAAGGCCTGATGTATCCCTGTGCACCTCTATTCCAATAAATTGGCTGAGATTCCCAATATCCTTAAGAGTAAAGCATGTGTTCAGATTGTCAATAACTTCCTGGACTGTTGTTCCTTGTTATTATGATATCATCAACATAGGCAAGTGCAAACAATTTTTCTTCACCATCTGTAGAGAAGAAGAGTGAATTATCAGCTTGGGATTACTTAAAGCTCCATTTCATCAAGGTAGTTTTCAGTTTTTCATGTCAGGCTCTTGGAGCCTATTTCAGTCCATATAAGGCATTGTTGGTTTCCAGATCCTTGACAGCACAAAAGTTAGAATAAAACTCCATGAAGACATTGTTGTCATTTGTAAGTTGAAAAACACTAATTAAGTTCCTCTTAATTGCAGGCACAAGCAATTGTTTATTTAGAGCAAGAGACTTGTTATCAAGTGAAGGAATACCTCCTTTTCCAACATGTAAAATTTCCTAAGAGTTTCCATCACCAATTAGAACTTTCTCTTTACCTTCATATCTCTTGGCAATGGATAGGTTCCCTTTATCAACTGTGACGTGATTGCTTGCACCAGTGTCTGCAAACCAGGCTGAGTCTTCAAAAACTGGGGTGATGCTACAAATGCAGCAGGAGTTGAGCTGCTGTTTTGCTGATTTTGATTTGCAGGCCTGCTTCCCATGAATCTATCATCATATCTGTTGAAACACCAACTTACTGAGTGATTGTTCAGCCCACAGCCCACAAATCTAATAGGGTCCTCTACTTTCGCTTTGCCTATTAGCTCTACCTCTTCCTCTTGTCCTGCCTCTTAAGTTTCCAGTTCTCCCTCTAAAGAATCTACTACCTCCGGAGCTTGTCCTTAGAGTAAGTTTGTACACTTGACTGACAAACATTGAGTGAAACAAAGTTGCTTCTTACTTGATTTAAGTACTCAAGTCTACTTTCAAAGGTCATGAGTACAGAGGATAACTCATGCCATGATATATTTTCACGGCTGTTGATCTGCACAACAATAGGAGTATATTCATCATCCAGTCTTGACAAAACTTGAGTTACCAGATCACTATGATCTACTGGTTTTCTAGCCACCTGAAGATTTTCAGCAAGTTGTTTGATGGTAGAAAGGTATTGATCCATAGTCATAAATCCCTTTCTCGTTCTTTGCACCCCCAATAAGGAATACAATCCTTGATTGTTTAGTATACCGTAGCTTTCTTCCACATCAGTCCATATGGTGCTTGAACTGGTACAACCCATTACTCTCATTGCTATCTTTGGCGTCA